AGACGATCGCGAATGGAGATCAGGGCGGAGAGAGCCATTCTATAACGAGGCAAACAGCTAACTCAAATAACGAAACGAAGTTTTTGCATGCCGCGATCGTCGAATTCGATCGAATGCCTTTTTTCTCCTCTACCCCTACGTTTTTTGCACGCTCGCGTACTATGATACGATTTCGATTGAATCGCGACCCTGCGTTTATATCCACGGTATATCACATAATACGTGGACGTTGCTGTATGTAGAATACGTATATAAATAATAAAAAAAGGAAGAGGTTTCTACGGATGTTACTGCTATCTGATCTTGTTTTGAGTTTATGGCCGTTTTTGTGGTACAGTAATTTGCTCGACAATCTTTCGTCATTTATGGACGGTGTTTGATATCGCGTGATGGACACCTTAGGGAAAATGGCGATGGGGAAAACGGGGATTATTTACCAAGTCCTCAAACTACCAAATTCTCAAGTCCCAGAATTCGATACTCCTCAAATTCTCAAACCTTAAATACTCACATCCCCAAATTCTCACCCACCTACTTCCCCACTTTCCCAACTCCTCAAATCCCCAAATCTTGAAATTTCCAAATTCTCAAACCCTGAATTTTCACCCACCTACTTTCTCACCCTTTCAACTCCTCAAATCCTCAAATTCTCAAGTCTCCAAATTCTCAAACCCTAAATTCTCACATCCCCAAATTCCCAACTTCTCAAATTCTCATCCATCTACTTCCCCACCTTCCCAACTCCTCAAATCCCAAAATTCTCAAACCCTAAATTCTCACATTCCCTAATTCCCAACTCCTCAAATTCTCACCCATCTAATTCCCCACCTTCCCAACTCCTCAAATCCCAAAATTCTCAAACCCTAAATTCTCACATTCCCAAATTCTCACCCATCTAATTCCCCACCTTCCCAACTCCTCAAATCCCAAAATTCTCAAACCCTAAATTCTCACATTCCCAAATTCTCACCCATCTAATTCCCCACCTTCCCAACTCCTCAAATCCCCAAATTCTCAAATCTCCAAATTCTCAAACCCTAAATTCTCACATTCCCAAATTCTCACCCATCTACTTCCACACCCATCTAATTCCCCACCTTCCCAACTCCTCAAATCTCCAAATTCTCAAACCCTAAATTCTCACATTCCCAAATTCTCACCCATCTAATTCCCCACCTTCCCAACTCCTCAAATCCCCAAATTCTCAAATCTCCAAATTCTCAAACCCTAAATTCTCACATTCTCAAATTCTCACCCATCTACTTTCCCACCTTCCCAACTCCTCAAATCTCCAAATTCTCAAACCCTAAATTCTCACATTCCCAAATTCTCACCCATCTAATTCCCCACCTTCCCAACTCCTCAAATCTCCAAATTCTCAAACCCTAAATTCTCACATTCCCAAATTCTCACCCATCTAATTCCCCACCTTCCCAACTCCTCAAATCTCCAAATTCTCAAACCCTAAATTCTCACATTCCCAAATTCTCACCCATCTAATTCCCCACCTTCCCAACTCCTCAAATCTCCAAATTCTCAAACCCTAAATTCTCACATTCTCAAATTCTCACCCATCTACTTTCCCACCTTCCCAACTCCTCAAATCCCCAAATTCTCACCCACCTACTTCCCCATCTCCCCAACTCCTCAAATCCCCAAATTCTCACCCACCTACTTCCACACCTTCCCATCTCCTCAAATCCCCAAATCCCACTATCCCAAATCTCTCAAATTCCCTAATTCCACTTTCCCCCCTCCCTACTCTCCATCTCCTCCAAACTCCCCAAAATTTTACACCCTCTCCAATCAAAATCACACCAACCCCGGTAAATGTTTCAAACACGTCCGAACTATGGACACAAACAAATGTCTTTAAACGGTCCAACTAATCGTTCGACCAACGAAATCAGCCAAACGATGTATATTTCCCGATTCTTTTTTCTATTCCTCCCCTTAAACGAGCTTGCGGTCAGCCGAATATCCGGTTGTTTGTCCGAACCGCGGTTCGGATAATCTGACCAGCCGAATTATCCTGGTTAACGTCAAATAGCTCGGCAGCCCATCAAATAATTCGTTTCACGCCAGGTAATCCGAGCCTGCGGCAAGGATAATTCCCGACGCATTCCAGGATTATTTGCTGCGGCTTCGGATTATTTGGCGTCAAGTGAGCCACGTTTCTCTGCTCGAGAATCTCGATACGACAACGATGCTGGATGCTCGATGTCGTCGATGGCCGTCGACGACAGAATATTGCGAATTCGCGCAGAAGGAAGACGAAATAAATCTTCAATGATTAGAGTCGGTGGGATACTGTTAGTTAGGTTGTTGGTTACTTTTGATGCATAGGTACGTTTTAGGTTGGTAGTTCACGAAATCCCTAGATTGCCAAATCCCTAGATTGCCAAATCCGAAGGTTACCAAATCCCTAGATCCCAACATTCCAAAGACCCCAAAGTTCCTAGATCCCAAAATTCCAAAGACCCCAAATCCGCTAGATCCCAAAATTCCAAAGACTCCAAATTCTCAAATCCCCGATTTCCCTAGATCCCGAAATTCCAAAGACTCAAAATTCTCAAATCCCCGATTTCCCTAGATCCCAAAATACTATAGACCCCAAATTTCCTAGACCCCAAAATTCCAAAGACCCCAAATTCCCTAGATCCCAAAATTCCAAAGACCCCATATTCCCTAGATCCCAAATTCTAAAATTCCCGAATTCCCTAGATCCCAATTTCTCAAATTCCCGAATTCCCTAGATCCCAATTTCTCAAATTCCCGAATTCCCTAAATTCCGAATTCTAAAATTCCCGAATTCCCTAGATCCCAAATTCTCAAATCCCCGAATTCCCTATATCCCAAAATTTCAAAGACCCCAAATTCTCAAATTCCCGAATTCCCTAGTGTCCATATTCTCTAGCTTTGAAATTCTGAAATCCCCAAATTCCAATATCCCTATACCCCTAAAAAATCCCTAAAGATTGGAATGGTAAAACTTGAGGACTTGAACTCTGCAGCTCGAAACTACCCAATCTTGCAAACCCAAAATTTCAAAACTTTCAAACGTCAGCTCCTCCAAATTTCAATCCACATCTTGAAAAATTGCAATAGAAAATATCCTGCCCTGAAAATTAATGAAGAACGAGAAAAGTTATCCCAAAGTGAATTGGAAAGCTACTTGTACAGTTGTAATTAGAATATTTTGCAGAATCCGATCAACAGCAATCTCCAGCGATATTTCAATATCCTATAGGAAAATTATTCATTGATTTTTCTTAATTGCCTTCCGATATAAAGGTAATTCCGCTCGATATCAGTTAATTCTGATATTCTTCTTCTTGTTAGGGTTGTCAATAGTTCCATCAATCTTAAATATGATTAATTTTAATATTCCAGTGGGAGCACTCAGAATCATAATGGCTCACTTGACCCGTTTAATAATTCCTTAACTACCTTCGAATGATCGGTGAATAATTCTCGTTTTACCAAAGATTAATATTCTTATACTCCATTTCATTTATAATCGCAATTCGCTGTGTTGAACAGGGTCATTGTTCAACCACGTCATTGTACTAGTAAGTACCTTTTAATTGATATATAAATAAATATATTTTTCAATTCACGAACAATAAAATACTTTCCAATAGAAAATGAATAAATATTCACTCGATAAATAAATAAATATTTCCTCTCGATAAATAAAAAAATAAACTATTAAATCTACAAATAAATCCTTTTTATTTGATAGACAAATAAAAGACTACTTTTCGGAATCAGTGAATTTCGACAGTTAAGGGTAAAAGCGTTCCACCATCGTATGATGTTTTTTAAAAGGTAAAAGATTGTTATTTTTAACGGCGTTTTTTAACATTCGTGAAAATGGCCCGGTTTCGTGCTTCATGACCCCTGAACTTATGGAGCACTATGGTCGAGTTAATTAAGAACAGGAAGCATACAAGAACGAGATGCTTAAAGAGGACAATCGATACCTGTGATGTTTAATGGAGGTATACAAATCTTATTCAAGACGGGGAAAAATAAATGACGTAAATATACGATCGTGGCATGCGTTTTCTAGCCTCGTTACGTTTACTTTAATAGCACTTAACTTTTGCTATTGGAAAGTTCTATTGATTGAACTGAATGCATTCTTAATTGACGCTGTTTGTATTCGTGTGATAGTGTTCATGTTCATATGTTACTGTTCATGTTCATATGTTACTGTTTATATTCATGTGTTACTGTTCATAGTCATGTGATAGTGTTCATATTTATATGTTACTGTTCATATTCATATGATAGTGCTCATATTCATATGTTACTGTTCATATTCATATGTTATTGTACATATTCATATGTTACTGTTCATATTCATATGTGATTGTACATATTCATATGTTACTGTTCATATTCATATGATAGTGTTCATATTCATATGATACTATTCATATTCATATGTGATTGTACATATTCATATGTCACTGTTCATATTCATATGTTATTGTACATATTCATAAGTTACTGTACATATTCATGTGTTGTTGTACATATTCATATGTCACTGTTCATATTCATATGTGATTGTATATATTCATATGTTACTGCTCATATTCATATGACAGTGTTCATATTCATATGATACTATTCATATTCATATGTTATTGTACATATTCATATGTTACTGTTCATATTCATATGACAGTATTCATATTCATATGATACTATTCATATTCATATGTGATTGTATATATTCATATGTTACTGTTCATATTCATATTTTATTGTACATATTCATATGTTACTGTTCATATTCATATGTCACTATTCATATTCATATATTACAGTTCATACTCATACGTCACTGTTCATGTTCATATGTTACTGTTCATATTCATATGACACCATTCATACTCATTTATTACAAGCTCCAGTAGGTTCAAACTACCTAACCTAACCTACCACCACAAAAACTTAAACTAACAAATAAAAATTAGTTCGGTTACCTTTGACACCAATATGACCATCAGGTTTCTTCTGTCCCGTCTGAAAGTTCGGGGGTGGTTGAAGATACTTGATGCCGACTATGGTCGCAGCCGGCTCGTAATGAATCACACTGGGCCTGTCCTCCTCGACGCTGATCTCTGTGCTCTTCCAGTAAATGTCATATATGGAGGCGCTGCACCGTATCTTCATTTTGCCGTTGGTGAAGTTGTCGTGCGTAATGAGAAACTGAAGGCCGATCTGGGAGATCTGCCACTCCGATTCGTTCGTGTCGAGATGGCTGTACGTGCGGACGTACGACTTCATCGGCTGCGGACGAAACGTGTGATACATCGCATTAACATCTAGCTAAAGATCTATCATCTCTAACTGGGATCCTATTATTAACCGACTCACTGCGGGATTTTGTTTTATACTACTTGGTCGCGAGAGGAAATTTTACAAAAATATGAAGGTTCATATGAAATATATTTTATCATTAAAAGGGGATCATATATTTTATCATTAAATAGGTATCATATATTTTATGAATAAATAGGTATCATATATTTTATGAATAAATAGGTATCATATATTTTATCAATAAATAGGTGTTATATATTTTTGAATACTCTAGCTTCAACCTTATTCTTGAAAATAAAGTACTAAGTCACTTAAAATAAAAATCAGTCGTCCATCGGTCAGACATTTTTATTTGTCAGGCACCATTTTGTGGTAACATAACCTAACATCCTGTGATTGCCACATCACGTCTTTTGTCATAGGATGTCATTAATGTAAAGTCATGTAAATTGTCAGCAGTGTTCTTACAAGTAACTGTCCGTGTTTAGTTGAGGTCCTCAGGTGTCCTTAGATAGTTGAGCAAGTTAGGTCACACTTAACTCCCTGTCCTATAATATCATGCCACACGTGACTCGCAGCAATAATTGCTTGACAACAAAATTTACTAATGCAAGTTTCACAAAAATGTATAACTATACTACTATAAATTCTAATACAATTGTACACAAGTGTATCACAATAATTGTTAGAAGAATTGGAAACAAAGTGTACATGACCACACCGTGTCCTTGGTACCAGCAGAAATTCAGAGTTAAAATCGGCCAACTCTCGCGGGAGACGACTTAATTTCGATAATTAATTCTCGCCGAGTTTAAAGCCACTGCTCGGTACCGTTTTCCACGACAAATTTCCACGATTAGTCGAACGATCCAAGCGAGGAGTTCACTAATCGCCGCGAGCGTCCCGCGTAATTCGGATCGTTCAATGTTTCAAAGATCATCGCTGTAATCCTGCGCGGTCTGTTTTTCTCCGATTCTGCGGATCCATTCGATTTTAACTCTTATTCGGATTAGGTCGATTGTAACTCTACATTTTTAAGGTTTTACGAGGTTAGGAGCGTCTTGGGTTCCCTCTCGCTATATGGCATATTTTGAGATTTTTTAATTTTGAGATTTTAGGGCTGGGGAACTTTTTGGTTGTAAAAGGTAGGAGGTTTGGACTATGATAATTTTGCTTGTTTGGAGTTATTTGTTATTTTTTTTTCATTTTTATGGTTTGAGGCCTTGCAACTTTTACTTTGCAATTTTATTTAATTATTTTGTTAGTTTATAATTATATAATTGTATGATGTTGTAATATTATAATTTTAGATTTTTATAATTTTGTAATCTGACAATTTTGTAATTTTATAGTCTTGAAATTTTATGAACTTGTAATTTTATAATTTTGTAATTTTACAATCTTACAATCTCATAATCTTATAATCTTGTAATGTTATTAACTTGTAATCTTATTATCTTGTAATTCTATAATATTATAATCTTATAATCTTATAATCTTTTAATCTTGCAAACTTATTTTCTTGTAATCTCATAATCTCGTAATCTTGCAAATCTTATTATCTTATAATCCTACTACCTTGTAATTTTACAATTTTATAATTTCACAATTTAACAATCTAATAATTTTGCAACTTCAAAAATGAAAACCTTAAAAATTTGAAACCTTGAAGTTACTTTTCTAAAAAATTAGAAATCTGTTTTGAAATAATTTTTGAGGTTATGAAACCTAATTGCAGAGGTAAAAAATTTTATTCCTTAATAACCAAAGACCGCAAGAAATCCTCGAAACTAAATTTGGAAATCTGTAAAAGGGTTAAACGGACCTTTCACCCTACGTCCGTGCGTATTAACAATATAAAAGCAGTCACTTCAGCAAGGGTTGAAGATTAAACACATGCAAAGGTAATGAACGTAATATTTAAGCTGATATTATTACCTTACGAGGCAATTGCTATCTAGCCATTCCTTTGCAGTTATTAGTACAATTTCATTTGCATTCGAAAGGATACATTACCGTCCCTTGTTATTAACATAATATATGCGATAAGTTGCATATTCGATACTGTTCATCTTTAATCAACGAGACTTCTCTAAACAATTAACGAAACCTAATTCTTTGTTAAATTTTCTGAGCTACAAATTTTAAATTTGACTAATTTTATTTATGAGAAAAATACTTCGAGTCAAAAAATCTTCACAAAACAATTAACTAAACCTCTACAAATAGTTTGGCAAATTTTTTAAAATCTGATCAAGTTTATGTAAATAAGATTATAAATAATAATAAATTTCTAGGATTATAAATAATCTTATTTAAAAAAGTACTTGAGTCAATGAAAATTCTAAAAAGAACCAACGAAACCTCTATGCATTCTTCGTTAAATTTTCTTGAACTTCTAAAATTTAAATTCAACTAATTTTATAAAAAAATCCTTCGAGTCAAAGAACTTTCACAAAACAATTAACTAAACCTTCATAAATTTTTTCGAACCTAATCAAGTTTGTATAATTAAGATTATAAATAATAATAAATTTCTAGGATTATAAATAATCTTATTCAAAAAAATATTTGAGTCAAGGAAAATTCTAAAAACAACCAACGAAACCTCTATGCATTCTTCGTTAAATTTTCTTGAACTTCCAAAATTTAAATTCAACTAATTTTATAAAAAAATCCTTCGAGTCAAATAACTTTCACAAAACAATTAACTAAACCTTCATAAATTTTTTGGCAAATTTTTTCAAACCTAATCAAGTTTATATAAATAAGATAATCTACCCCCATTTCAGGGACCCACACTATTCGTGACACCCCATATATTAATCTTCTTATTTATAAAAAAAAATATTTCAATTCTAAAATTCTCTTCTTGAAACAATTTTAAATTACAGTCCACATACAACGATCAACCCCCATCTATTTATCGCATTCACAATTTCCCTCATCAAAAACGAGCTCCCAAAATTTTTAATTAATTCGATCCGCATAATAGTCCCACGTTTCACTTATCAAAGCTTTAACTTGATCGACTAAAACCAAAAACACATATAAAGCACCAGAATGCCAAATTGTTCAAAGCTGCGATTACGAGTTATTATTTTCACGAGTATTTCGATGGAACGATCGTTGAACCGAATATCGATAGAACACAAAGGGCAAAGGGACAATATTGCACAAAACTTGTAGTAAAAGCCACGGTAACATAAATACACGTACCGTGTATCCAGACGTGGTGTTTCAGTTGCAAAAGATAACAAAATTTATAGCAAATGTTTGTCCAAAGTTCGATGGTGGCCGTGGACACGACAAGACCGCAAAGGATTAACGATCAAGACTGCTACGTTGAAATCCCCCAACGTTTTGTGCCATCAAGAAAATTGATATATCTCGCGAAGTAACAACGTACGGTAACATGTGGACTCGTGACTGGTGGTTGGAGAGTAACGGTTCTGAGTTTGACGATACATTTACCGTGTTTATTTCTGCATTTATATTGTGATGTATTCATTATTCACTTCGTGGGTTTTGCATACTTTCAGTTTGAGATGTTTGCACTTTTGAAAAGGTGGGTTTGTAATATAGTTATTTTTGAATTCATAAATTTGGGATTTTTCGAGTTTACTAATACTCAATTTTTCAAATTGGGAAATTTTATATTTTAGGAAAATAAGATTTTTATTCCTAGATCCCCTAATTCCTATTTTAGTAAATCCCTAGATTTCCAATTTCCTACGTTCATAATACCCTAGATTCCCGAATTCTCTACACCTCTAATTTCCTACGTCCCCAATTCCCTAGATTCCCAAATTCCCACGTCCCGAATTTCCTAGATTCCCAAATTCCCACGTTCCGAATTTCCTAGATTCCCAAATTCCCACGCTCCGAATTCGCTAGATTTTCAAATTCCCACGCTCCGAATTCCCTAGGTTCCCAAATTCCCACGTTTCGAATTCCCTAGATTCTGAAATTCCCACGTTCCGAATTCCCTTGGTTCCCAAATTCCCACGCTCCGAATTCCCTAGATTCCCAAACTCCCACGCCCCGAATTCCCTGGATTCCCAAATTCCCACGTCCCGAATTCCATAGATTTTCAAATTCCCACGCTCCGAATTCCCCAGGTTCCCAAATTCCCACGTCTCGAATTCCCTAGATCCCCAAATTCCCACGTCCCGAATTCCCTAGATTCCTAAATCCCTACGTCCCGAAATCCCTAAATTTCCCAAATTCCCACGCTTTGATATCCCTAGATCCCCAAATTCCCACGCCCTGATATCTCTAGATCCCCAAATTCCCACGTCCCGAATTCCCTACATTCCCAAATCCCTACGTCGTCAATTCCCTAGATTCTCAAATTTCCTAGACTCCCAAATTCCGACGACCCCAATTCCCTAGCTTCCCAAATCCCTACGTCCCGAAATCTCTAAATCTTCAAATCTCTCGAAATTCTAAAAATTCCCATAAATTCTCAAAATTCCCAAAATTCCCAAAATTCCCAAAATTCCTAAAATTCCCATATCCTCAAATCTCAAAAAATAAACTAGTTAATTAACGACCCACACGCACAGTAATAATTTACCAAAAGTTCCAAAAACGTACGGTAATCTAAAAACACCACAATACCTCACACCGTAATATCACAGAAAAGTTCATCATAAGCAAGAGCACAAAAAAGTCGCGAAGCGAAATAATAAATTCAACAGGGTTGCAGCGAGAGGCTCTTTTCAAGAAGGACGGCAATTTCGCGGAAGCGACGTTGTCATTTATTTAACTAATTCTAAACATTGTTGTACCATCGCAGCATTAATTATCGCAGTTAGCCGACTTTCTTGTGGAAATACGATGAGGTCTCGCAGTCACGTGTCCCGTAACCGGTACCGTTGCACTACCAACTTCCCCTTTTATTAATTATCTAATTTCGCGAACGAGACTGCTCTATCGCCGCGGTTAAAACGCAGTCTCGAAAG